CTCAGCTCCCACTTCCTTTGTTCCTGTCATTTCTCATTTTCTGGGCACATCAGTTTGTCTTAGCTTCTAGCAAGATAAAGGGAAGAGGAGAGTTTAAGAAGTTATCAATGTTGGTATGCATTTCTATTTAGAAACTATATAATTACACTATTTTTGGAGAGTCAATTGGCATTCCCTATCAAACCATATATATGTACACATATACTTTGCATACATATTTGTTAATATTTAGAAATACACTTTGTGGGAATAATCATAAATAAAATAAGTATGTGTAAGAATGTTTATCTTTGAATAATTTCTAGTATTGAAAAATAAAAATACCTTTTATGGTGATTAATGTGTTATTTAAATACAGTATATTTATCTACTTGACAGATGTTTAACAGTTATTGAAATCACATTTAAAAATAAAATTCAATATTAACTATTAAGAATGCAATTAAATTATGTGAAAAAAATGGCCTTACATTATTCTTAAATGTTACAGACCTATATATGTGCTTTACTTGATATCTTTAAGAGTAAATGATATATTTTTAATGTAAAATGGAATTGAACTTTATATATATCAGTTAATTTGCAGTATGAGAATGTAGGATGATGAGATTGTGTTTGAGCTTACATATACCTTTATTAATTTTACAATTTTAAATATTTGTAAAGTATAGATTTAATCATTATGATAATAAAAACGGTTCATATAAGAACCGTTTTGTTAGCGTCCTACAAAAATTGAAACAGAGGGATATTTGAAATATGTGTATGCATAAATACAAGTATAGATTATATTTGTGTAAGGATTGTCCTCTGACCCACCCTCAAAGTAAATTAATTTTAGCCACATTGCCAAAATGTCTATAAATAATTACACAGTCATGTTTATTTCTCAGTGAGGCAAACCACAAATTAGATTTATTTCTCTGAACTGCAACCAGAATAGATCAAAACTCTTTTTACTTCAATGAAAGCTTTGTTATAGTCTCCATGTAGAAGAGGAACAAAGTAAACACATCTGCTGAAGATGTTCTTTTGAACATTTCAGACACTATGAATTAGGCTGCCTGTCATATGGTTGTGAATGAAAACAACAACTACTTCTTTCCAAAACTTATGAAGAAACTTTTTTTAGGTATATAAATAATCTCAGTTCCTACATGGTAGTATCATCATTCCATTCATTTCCCAAACAATAACATAACACATTTTAAAGACACTACTTCACTTCTTAATTTGTTGAATAGATTGTCTTCTGGGAATTATATATATAAAGATGTATTACACAATTCCTCCTACCCTTCACAATATGATAGACATATTCACAATTTGTAAGCAAGTTTGATCACCGGGATTTTTATACAGGTTCATGAATATAAGATACTGGGATTTAAATTCAATAAGATGTCACTAACAGCTTTAAGACTTGGAAATGTTTATTTTTTGTCAAATTATAATCATACTGTTTATGATAAGGAAGTTTAAAGTGAAATTTAAACAGGTAAAGTAAATTGTTAGTGAAGTTATTGCTAGTTCACATTAAAACAAAATACTCCTTTAATCTTACCTGCTCTTTACATATAGAATTACCAAAAATTTATTTATCTGTAAATATATAAATTTAGAACATAAGTGAGATAACATTATACATTAATTTATAATACATTTATTCAGTCTAATGAATACTATGAAAAGAAAAATCTACCTGTGGAAATTTTGTATGTTCCAAACTATTTAAGCCTTGATTAATATTAAAAGCATGAAAATTATAGTAATATCACAAACCTTGGACAAGTGTTGTATTTTAAGATATTAGATAAGACTGAGAATTCAAGGCATTGCACTGCTTACATAATATAAACATTTTACAAATGATAACAAAGTTTGAAAATATGCAGAACATTTGAAGATTCTAAGAACATAAAGTGTAGCCAGATTGCTCAGAAACTGTCACCACATTTATATTTACTCTATTTTTTATATGAATGGGATTGAGTTTGGTTAGTTTTTAAAACTCTCACAGAAGGCAGTTGTTCACATACTTTATCTTTATGAAATGATTTTTACCTGTGAGACTAGATGTTTATTTATTTGCTTTTGAAGGATGCTTTATCTTCTCATGACTATTTGTTACATGCAATTACATTCAAATTGACTCATTAGCCTTGCCATATGTAAGCCACTTACTGAGACTTTCACAAACTTTTTTAAAATAAATAAATAAAACTCTAAATGTTTACCTTTCATTTTAAGTTTAGAGAAAAAAATAACCCTTTAAAATCTTTTTATCAGAAAAACCATATAATTATAACACAAGCTTTGTCTTTTAAAACACATCAAAATTTCTTTTATGTTTTAATTTTTTTATATACTCCTTTTCTACATTGATCCTCCCTCTCCACTTCTTGACAACTCAGTTCTGCTGCCAGTGTCTGCTAGTGCTTGACTTTTTACATTGTCATTAGTATTTTTTAATTCTGAGAGCATTTTATGGATTATATAGTTGCACTTATGGAAGGAGATGCTCTTCCTAACAAAGTCTTGATTTGGTTCCATGGATTGATTTCAGAGGCAATAAATACAGGTTCAAATTTCACAGTATTGAATCTTCATATAGATAATGGCAGTGAAACAAAACCACAGAGATGAGCTAGCTCTTACCTGAATGAGGAACATAGCTATGTGGTGAAATTCTCCACGCCCTCCTTGCTTCACAGGAACAGTCATAAAGAATTTGCTGCCATCTCTAGAGAACACAGGCTCCTCATTCTAAAAACAGAAGTATATACATATATATCAACCTTAAAAGGGCATGTGAAACTCATGTTGTTAGCTACTGCTAATTCATACATGGATTCGACCAATTATTGATTTTGAATAAGTTTAGAAACTGTCAAATTATTAAAAAAAAAGATGGAATATGGTTGTATTTTTAAAAGTCAACCTATGCATGGAGTGTTTTTCAATGGAGGGATGGCTCAGGAGGTTTTGATTATTGGATAGGAAAGATTCATAAACTTAAGTCACTTTAAATTGCCTCAATAAAGGTTTTTCATATCTTACATAAGATATGACTATCTAGCAATTTACCTTTCAAAAATAAGAAATAAATCAACACCTGCACCAATTAATAAAAATACTTTATTCATATAGTAAATTTGATAACACAATATTTCTCATATTTTCTGAAAATTTTCACTCAGCAAATCTACTGACTTGAAGACATACCTTTGATCATATATATATATAAATCTACTGAAAATATACACTAAAAGCACAGAAACTTAGAAAAAAATCATTGAAGCTCACATAATTAACATACTTCTTAATGCTTGTCCCTCCACAAACCCACAAGTATAATGATTATTTGATGATTTTTAAATTAAACTCTAGTTCATTAGAAAAAAAAAAGCAAAACACTATTTTTCAAAACAGAATGAGATGGATGATGTATATATATATATATATGATATATATATATATATATATATATATATATATATTACTTTTCTTGCTCAGGAAAATAGATTTACTAACAAAACAAATGGTTCTTTTAGGTTGGATTGGTAAGAGTGATCATCACATGGTATAGAAAAAATTTGATGTTATCTTTTAAAATAACCTGTTGGGTTCTTTCTGAGGAGCTAGTCCTCTCTCCAGTCTGATCTGATCTTCCATTCTACTGTTCCTTTTTGTGTGTGTTTCTGCCCCAGGATCCATGCACTTTTATTGTACTTGTTTGGCTATTTCTTTTGTCCCTTTCATTTATTTACTCTTTCATCTATCAGAGTTGTTTCCTAATTACTTCTTGTAAAGAGTGATCCAATTCTATCTCAATCTCTCACCTCTCATTTACTACTTTCAGTTATTTTCCATAGCACCTAATACTATCAAATACATATTTCATTTTATTTTTTTAAAGATTTATTTTATTTATTTTTTAATGCATACAGAACTGGGGTACAGGCCAGAGGCACAGATGCGGTGAGAGGATTCACCAGGGTCAGAGTGGGGAGCAGAACAGGCAAAACGATGAGTACACGGGCGGGTCAGGAGAGGTCTGTTGTGCCATGTGAATCACCTACGGGGTGGGGATCAAACTCATGTTGAAGTGGCTTTAGCTTCTCAGTGCTGTACTTTACTCTGCTGCGCCACCAGGGAGGGCCAAATACACATTTTAAATATATATGCATTCATGAAAAATCTTTTTTTCTCAACTTAAAATTATGAACAAAAACCACTTACAAATTTCACTGGGTGAAGAAACTCTCCTAGTTAGGAAAGCTCGCCTCAAAGACTCTAAAAACAGCTTCTATTCATCCTTATCATGGCTTTCAATGCATTCTATTACATGGCTGACTTCCTTTACTAGGCAAGTAATAATTAAACTTAGTTTTCAATTTTATTTTTTAACTCTATTGCCTAGGACACAGTAGGTGTCCAATTCATAATAACGGAATAGATAAACTGAATTCTTGTGTACAATGGGAAAAATATTGTTATATATTATATATCTGCTTATATATATATAGATGTTATATATGTACATATATACATTGTATGTGTAAAATATTCTTCCTACTATATTTACTTCAAACATTACCCTCCGACTTTATTCACCAATCTCCTCTTGTGTTTGACTTTAACAAAAAATAGATTTTTTTTTGATGTTATGGGACTATCTGAGTATTCTCATTCTAATATTAGTTCCCCACCTCAACCAAGTCTAGTTCCTTAAAAATGGTTCAGTGAAGGAATAATTGAGTATAATGCCAAATTCATTAAAGGTCTTTAAATCTTCATCATAGAAAATATTTGGCAAGTAGCAAACTACTTTACACAGACTTTTTACTATAATCAAATAAGTAATTGGAATTCATCTCACAGTATATATTCATGATCTTATGCAAATCTACACTTAGGACACACAAGTTAATGAATTGGGGGAATCAAAATCTACCCAAGAACTTAAGATATATTACAAAGGTGATCTTAATTGTATCTTGGAAACTAGGCCAAGCATGTCAATTTCCCTCTATTTCTTCTGTAGAGAGAGTGATCATATGATAATTATATTAGATTTCTAATTGTCTTATAAATTTACCTCATCTCATTAATAATACCATTCTAATTTTTGAAATTCTATTAATTTTTAAGTATTTCATGACTATTTCTTAGTGTTTCTCAATAAAACATAAATCGTGGCAAACAAACAAGCTATATTTTATTCCTGATAATGGATAGCAGGTCTCAATGATTTAAAAAAGCTTCTGTGCCTTACATAAATTTAGTATTTACACTTCAAGAGTCCACCAAAAATTATTAGGAACCATAAGTCAGTATAGTAACATGACCAACATACTGAAATCAGTTGAGTCCCAATTCAATGATTAGAGAATTAACATTGCTAAAATGGCCACATTACCCAAAAGAATTTAGAAATTCAATGCAATTACTACAAAAATTTCAGTGACAATCTTTAAAGAAGTTGAAGATACATTATAAAATTTGCATGAAGCCACAAAAGACCTCTTCCAAATCTAAAATGGAGTTCTTGAACCCCCAGACTTCAAGCTAGATTAAAAACTATCGTCATCAAAATAATATGCTATTAAATGAAGTAGATACAATGTTAGATCAATGCAATAAAAATGAAATTGCAGAAATATGATGCCACTTACATGGACAGTTATCTTTGCCAAGGGAGTCAAATGTAAACAATGGAAAAAAAGAAAGTTTCTTCAACAAATAGTGTTGAGAAAACTGAGCAGTATATGCAAAAAATGTAACTTAAACTACTATTTCACACAATACACCACAATTAAAATGAAAATGGATTAAAGATCTGGATGATATAGACCTGACACCATAAAAAGCACAGAAGAACGAATAAGAAAACTCATCATTATATTGACTTCAGTAACATCTATGGGGTCAACTCAAACAAGGGGAAACATAAGCCAAAATAAACAAGTGGATCTGCATCAAAATAAAAATCTCATACACAGTGAAATGAAAGAAGTACTCATTAAAATGAAAATATGTATAGTACTGAACTGTAGAAAATATTGGCACACCCTACATTCAAGAAAAGAGTACGTATCCAAGAACTACAAAGAGTTTGCATAACTCAACAAATTGATAAATCTCCAGCTAGATTAACAAAGGGGAAAGGAAAATAAAATTGATAATCATAATTAAAAATGAAAGGGGAGAAATTACCACAGACAGACATACAAAGAACCATAGCACTGACTATGAACAAACATATGCCAATAAATTCAATAACCTTACAGAAGGACTTAGGCTAGCTGGCTCAAACCATTTGTAAAAATCAGAAAAGGTGACTGATCCCTAATATATTTTTTGATATCAGTATTACTTTAAATTGAAACCAGATAAAGAAAGCACAAGAAAACTATAGACCAGTATCCTTGACAAATATTGACATAAAAATATTTAAAATATTAGCAAATATAACTCAACAGGTTGGAATTATTATAACTCATGATTAAGTGAACTTATACCTGGGCTAGAAAGACTATTTAATATACATATATAAATCAATGTAATATATTACATCAACACAAAGATAAAAAATGTATGGCAATCTCAATACATACAGAGAAAGCACTCATTTATAAGATCCAGCACTCATTTATGATAGAAACCCTTTACAGATGGGGACAGAAGAATTCAATATACTAAAGGCCATATATTGCAAACCAATAGATAATATATTGAATAGTACTTAATAGTGAAAAACTGAAAGTTATCAATTTAAGATCAGGAATAAGACAAGGATGCCCAATGTCAGTATTTCTATTTAACTTATTATTAGAAGTTTTAGCTAGTGCAATGATAGAACAACTGTACATAAAAGGATCCATGTTGGCAAAGAGAAGTAAAACTGTCATTATTTGCAAATAGTATATAAGAAACCCCCAAAGACTCCACAAAAAGTCACCAGTAGCAATAAATCAAAACAGAAAGTGGCAGGTGACAAATTATACAAATTTTCCTGCACTTTCTTAAGCAACCAATGAGAAAAAAAAGTAATTAAAAGTAATTCCATTCATACATGCTTCAAAAAGAATAATTATGAACTGACCTCTCCAAGGAGATGGACTTATATCATGAAATTTATGAGACGCTGCAAAATTATTTAGACAGCGACATTTTAATGTGGAAAGACAAACCACAATCATGAATGGAGAGTAGAAATGTAATCAAAATTACTTCTATAAAATTGATTCTAAATTTAACATAATTACCATCAATATACCAGCAATGTTTTTTAAGAAACTGAACAAAAAATATTAAAATTTATGTGCAGTAATAAAGATTTTAAAACTTTCATGGTTTTTCATGTAAGTAAAACTGATGAGGAAAAAAAGGAGAGATATAAAAGTATTTTCTTTTCTGACTTTATAACATAAAACGACAGTAAACTTATGTGATATGGTATTGGCATAAAAACAGACACATGGGTAAATGGAACAGAATCAAAAGATCAGAAAAAATTCTGTATATATCAATATTTAATTTATGATAAAGAGCCACACTATTCAGTGGGAAAAGGAGTTATCTTTAACAAATGGTCCTGGGAAAACTGGATGATCATATGTAAAAAATCAATTTGGACTACTTTATAACTACATACAGAAAAACAAATTCAAAGTGGGATTAAAGACCTATACATAAGATATTCAACAATAAAACATGTGGATGGGAACTTTAATTACTTTCTATGAAATCACTGATAAAGACAATTTTGAGATCTGACCCCTACGGCAACAGAAATAAAAGTAAAAATCAACAATTGGTACTATCTCAAACTAGAAAGATTTTACAGAGCAAATATGTACCTACTTACATATAGATATATAGTTTAAAAAATATCTTAACAAGTTAGTGCAAATATTAAGATGTTATACAATTGACAGGGGTTAATATTCAAAGTATATTACAAAATCAAATTTAGCAATTAACAATAAACAACCCCATTATAAAATTGCCAGTAGATCTAAACAGACAATTCACCAAAGAGGACATATAGAAGGCCATGGACAAATGTTTATCATTGCTTTTAATATGGGAAATGCAAATCAAAATCACAGTGGAATACATTTCACATTTATGAAAACAGCACATATCTAAAAAAATTCCAACTGAAAGTACTGAAGTTGTAGAGAAAGGGCAATCCTATTATACTGCTGGTAAAATATAAAATGATGTGACCTTTTTGGAAACCATCTGGAATTACCCTAGAAAACTAAACATGCAAATACCAAATGGCTGAGCAGTCTCATTCCCGAGCACCTACCCAAGCAATATGAAGACGTCAACTCAAATATTATATGGTCTATACTAATTACTGCAGCATGACATTTACAACAGTTAGGAGATAGAAACAATATAAATGCCTACTGATAGAGGATAGGATATATCTGTACAAAGAAATACTATTCATTCATAAGGAAACATGAAATGTTGCTACTTACATCAAAAATGGAAGGAGTTTGAAGAGTGCAAAGGAATGTCAGAATTATAAAAACCAATGCTGTGTAAATACACAGCAGATAATCCAACAAAGTAAAATACTTATAAAACAAGTAGAAACTAAAAAAAAAAACAAAGTAAAGTTTCTGCAGTTCAGTGGACAGTAAAAGATGAAATGGTCAAGTGGTTTAAGTGGGAAAGAAATTAAATGAAATAAAGTAATGTGGTATTCAAAATGGTAAAATAAATGGTGAGGGACTTTGTCTAGAAGTTAAATAATGTGACCAATTCAATTAACTACTAGGATAATAGTTAAAACAAACCTAGTTTGATTCTAATTCCTGTGTTTATAATAATTCTATGCTGTAATACATTTCATAATGAGAAGTTCTGACCTTCAACAAATATTTATAGGTCTCCTCTTACCCAACCCTATGCTATATATTTGTTTTTCAACAAAATGCAAATATCCATCTCGCCTTCATGAAGCTACTGAAAATCACAAATATAATTGCCTATGTATTATACAAAAGTTACACTTGACTTTGAAATGATTTTCATTGGAAAATGTCATCTTGTTAGTTGGCGGAAATGACTTTTTTAAGTAGGTAATCTAAACTGAAGTTTGAAAATGAATATCCTTCCAAGAAGTAGTTGAGAAAATTCTGTTCAGACAGAAAAGTTAATACAAAGACCCTGTCCAGACAAGGGCCAATATATCCTGAATGGCAAAAGATGGGCTGAAAGAACAGTATGACAGAGTTGGAAAAGTTTTCAATTTAATTTCTTATAGTCTGTTTAAAGATGTTAGTCTTTACCTGAAGAACAAAAGGAGAGATAACGATTTTTTGTGTGTGTGTGAGAACAGAAGTATGATACAGGCAGTGGCAATCAAATATATATTTTGAAAATGTGTAACAGCCAGCCTGCAAATAACAGACTGATAGGTGTTTAGAAATTCCAGTTAAAGAAAACTTCAGTACTTGTAACTTGGTCCTTGAGGATGTTTGTGATGTGGACTTAAGTAAATTGATTGAGATCTTTGAAAATTAAATGAAGGAAATTAGTGATCAGTTATATATACAAGGAAGCATTATGAAAGTGTCAAGGTTTATGGTTTTAATAGTTGTATAGTTAATTATGTCACTGACTCCTATGACAATAAGAGATAAGAATGAGTAAAGAGGAATGTGTTCACTCTGGACCTGTGGAATGTCCAGTTATATCTGCATAGTTAGGAGGAGATGCAAAACATGAATTTGGATGTTTGGATGTGCTAAACAGATGATAGTTTCAATGTGTTAATGGGAACCAGAGATGTATGTGATACCTAGGAAAAATAATATGAAAAGATCACTGCAGAGAAGAAAACAAATTAAAGCCAAAACAAAAAAGACACTTTCCTTTGCAGCAAGTAGTGATGGAACTGGTAATAAAGTGGGTTCAGTCATATTTGCATAATGTATGTGTGTTTCCTACAGAAATGTCCTGTATGAACTATGTCGTAGAGATACTTGGTAATTATTCAATCGTGATCATCTGTATTGTAGTTTCATTTATGCCACATACACACATCTAAAGAAATAAGTGTTTATTTGAATAATTTCTACATAATTACTTATGTGGAGGTTTGGTCAATTTTCTAGGCAAATTTGACAAATTCTGAAGGTTTCTAGTTTTGGTAGGTCACAACTTTTATTCTTTCATTTATACAAAAGTTTCTTTGTATGAATGATCCCCAAACTGGTCCCTGGTAACTTGTCTGCTAATTTTATACTGTGAAAGACATAAGTAAAGATGTCACACTTGATGAGATAGAAACTCCAAGTAAAAAAAATATGTTAATGGAAAAGGTTTATTCAGTTAAGAGGCAAAGGTCATATTACGGAAATAGCTTTTGAAAGTTATATTGCATACAAATTAGTCATATTTGGGCACAATGCACAAAATGTGATATTAAGAAACTATACTATACCTGCTTAGAAAGCCATGTATCTGATGTCATCTCGTATTTCTGAAAGAAAACAATTAATTCCATGAAGCATCTAAAGATCAAAATGAGCATGCATCAGTTTAGCCTTTTTAAAAGCTGTTATTTATCAGATATTTTTTTCTCTTTCCAACTGGTAAAATACCAAGAAGTATCATTGTCATTATTGATTTAAACTAAAGGGATAAGAAGTGAAGTGGGGTTAAAAGATAATTTAAATGTAAAGTCTCTCCTTTAGTAAACTCCCTTAGAATTCCCAGAAGTGTGTCACCAGGGATGGATCACTTTCCAGCTCAGTTTGATTACCTCATTCAGACTGTTTTGAATCACAAGACACTGTCTCTTTTCACCTCTAAGCATCATCAGGAAACAATATTAAGTCCTTCAAAAGAACTGGGCAAATAGCCAGGAATAAAATTAAAAGATAGACATTCTTTCAATACTCAATCCGCTCTTTATTGGTCTTTTTTTTTTTTTTTTGCCCCCTTAGAGAAAGATAATTAAACATATGATATGACAAAATTTTATGTTCCCTTAAAATTAGCTTACAAAGAATTGGAACCAAAATCCTATTTTAAAAGTAAAGTTACACTAATTACTCTCAAGTTATGCATATATAAAATAAACTTTAGTAATTCTGTTTTTCTATTGTAACATATGAAATATCTTATAATTTCTAAAAAAAATCTATAATTAAATTATCCAAATGAGGACAAAAAAAAAAATCACAACATGGGAGAGATTTTATCATATGCAATTCTGCTCATTTCAAATTGTTAACAATTACAATTTTTTGGTTTACCAGTATTTCCAAGTCACTTTATAATTAATTGAAAGCTCACTCTTTTCATGTATACTTAATAGATTTTATCTATACAAAGACATGAGGGAAATATCTAATTCAATATTACCTTGTTTTCTATTGCTATCTCAGCAATAATACAGCTTTGACATCAATGAAGACACAAAATACATGCCAATGCCACTATATATTAGGATTTGCTAAAATCTATGAGAATTTAGCTTCATGTGCAATTATTTGTTTCTTATTTAAATTTTAGCAGAGAGTACGGTCATTTTAACTACACAAATGGAAGGGAAAGGAAATAATCACGAAGGTGTCAAATAAAAAATATTACTGTTTAAATATCTATTTTTTTATTGGAAAACTGAAATATAAACTTGCAGCTACCTATATTCATAATGCTTGTATTGAGACGATGACAGGCTTACACTAAACAGAATAGTACGTGTCAAATTTTCAAAGACTTTGCAATGAGCTGAATAAGGATCCATTAAGAGACCTTAACAATAAATGGTGAGACCTTCTGGTCCTGTATTTTTGTTTTTTAAGTCTTTTAATCACTTTTAGTTCCTTGCTTGTAGATGGTCTGTTCAGATTTTCTTCTTCCCTATTCAGTTTGAAATGGTTGTATATTTCTAAGAATTTGTCCATCTCTTCTAGATTGTTTAACATACTAGCATACAGTATTCATAACAATCAAATATAGTCCTCTGAACTTCTGAGATATCTATTTTAATTTAACCTCTTTTGTCTTTAATTCTAATTGTTTTCTCCTGTCTTTTTGAACTTAGCTAGGAGTTTCTTTCTTTTTTAAAAGAATTAGCTTTTGGTGTCATTAATCTTTTGTAATTTTTTTTTTTACTTCATTTTCATTTATTTCTACTCTAGTTTTTACTATTCCTTTCCTTCTACTGCTTGCTGGGGTATCCCTCTTCTGGATACTACTTCTAGCATGTGTTATAATAGTCTCTTTTACTTTTACTTATTTGTTTTAAATTGAGGCAACCCTGGGCTACATCTGTTTTACTTTCAGGAATTTGGACATTGTTCAGCTGCAGTTTAGCTGTAAGTATGCAGAGGAAGGAGTTCCCAATTTATCAGTTGTTCTTTCTCACCAAATTTAGTTGTGATGCACTATTCTCTAAATTGCTACAGGTGATATATGCTTAAAGACCTTTTTTGTATGAATGTTCATGAGTGATAACAGTCTATGCAATGTCCTTGTCTAGTTTTGGTTTCAAAATTACATTTCGCTTTCCAAGTAGAATAAAAATTTCTTCCCTCCACTTTCTAGAGAATGCTGTAGTGGAAGCTTTTATTTTTTTTTCAATTTTATTGAGATATAGTTGATTCGTAAGATTGTGGTAAGTTTAATTTGTGTATTGTATTAACTTTATATATATATATATATATATATATATATATATATATATATATAATGTTATCAATGTTGTACACTACAACCCCTCAATTTTTTAGATTTATATTTGGACTTTGTACCTTTTTATCAATTAGCCTCACTCAATTCCTCCCACCTCAACCTCAATCTGGTAAATGCAAACCTAATCTCTGTTTCTGTGAATTTGCTTTTGTTTTTGTAGACTTCATATGTAAGTTAGATCATATAGTATCTAAATACACCTGCTTTCAAAACACAGTGGTTCACAAACCAAGTCTTTCTGTTATAGAGACATTATTTGCTATTTTAGAAGGCTAACCTGAACTATAGGGAAAGCAAAGGGCTTCTGGAATGTGCTAAAGGCAGAAAAGAAACAGCTAGTGTTCTCAAGCAGATCAAAGTTAAAATATGGAATGAAAACACATAATGAAAATTAAAATAATGGCTTAGACTACTGTTTGTACTATATAAACATCCATTGTTAAAAGTATTTTTACTTTAAGTTCATTTCATCTGCTTAAACAACTACATTTTTACTTCAAAGTCTGGAAGCTTAATAGATTAAAATATACATTTTTAATAAAATGATCTTTTTCTAACAACTTTTGAAAGTTAAATATTGAGGTCACTGTATAAGGAATTGACCAATTTCCCTTTGAGGGGTAGTATAAATGTTTTCCTTTTAAGCATAAAGGAGAAGTAAATTATACTCACTTTACTGCAAGCACCAGTAGTAGTTTCACAGACTGTGAGGATGGAGATGTTCTGAGGTCGGTTTAACCATCTGACCACCGTCTTGGTATTGCTTACCCATTTAACCATAGTGATATAATATTCTCTAGTGTGAAGACAAAATTAACATTTCTCCTTAGAGTCACAGAACTTGCACAGTAAGCAATAATATATACTTGGTATTTTATGTAAGAATAAATTAAACACTATAAATGTTGCATCATATTGACTTTTTATTTATGAATACATATCTGCTTTTTTAAATATTAGCAACTGAATATGAATATATATGTATATATTAATATTAAACATACAAAGACATGTTAAAATATACAGAACATTTGAGGATAAATTTGAAAGTGAATAATTTCAAAGAAAGGAAATCTTTGAAAACAATAAAAAAATCAAGATGTTAGACATTTATGAATTGTTTGTTACTTTGTATTGATTAGTATGCAAAACAACTATACATTTTATAAGCCATATTAATTTTTACTTCTTTAAAATTACAATTAACAATAAACTAATGATCACAACTTATTCTAGGCTTAATAATAATTTATTACACATAACCTCCATATAATTTCACTTTATCTTTAGGGACATGAAATAAAAATAAATCTATCTATCTATCTATCTATCTATCTATCTATCTATCTATCTATCTATCTATCTATCTATCTATCTATTTCCTTTTGGCCAAGAAATAGCTAGTTCCAACATTTTATTCTTAATATTTGCTAAAGTATTTTTATCTGATTTATTTGAGAGAGTTTAAAGCAAGTAAGTAATCATACTGAGAGGAATGGAGGACTACCGAATTTTTGTTTCAGTGAGTATTCTAATTAGTGGGGAGTGTGGTGTTCCCTCTAATTGGATTTTTGGATTGAAAAAGTTTATGTATTTTTTTCCTTCTGTTTATATGTTTTTTCATTGTAGTCTATGTTTGGAAATTTACTATCATACCTCCTACCCCAAGTATACACAGATAAACATGTATTCATCAATGCTATGAAACGCCTCTAATTGCTTTGCTAAGTTTCAGAATAGACTTCTTTATAAAATGACTTACAAAGCCCTTAAATTACTCGAGTATTACCTGAAAAAGAATCCACCGCTCTTTTATATGACTTAGGGGAATAAAAAAAAAACAAAAACAAAAAAAACACCTACAGGGAACACAAAGCCTTCTCATGCAAATCACTTCACAAGCATATTCAAGCTAGACTTTCAGCTACATGAATCTTACATTTTTAACATTAGTGAATTCTCCAGAAAACCTGTTAGCCCAACCAAGTGAAGCTGTCAGTAAAAGGGCAAGTATACCTTGTCAGATAGCAAAGCTTGCAATAGTTTCTTCAACAATCTCTTCAAGTCATCTGGCTGTTTTCACAACCAGCTGAATCTCATTTGGAAATGGCCTAGAAACTCAGTGAATTCATAACATGAAGTTCCTTAAATAGAACCAACAAGGCATATTTGAATGAAATATGCAGCTGGTTTAGGATTCATCTTTGGCCAAGGATTAATCTTGAAATTCTGTAAATAGAGATGTCCACTCCACTTTCAGTGTGTGAAAGTGAATTATTTTGCATATTTTAACATGTTTGGAAGTTAAAAAAAAAACTATTAAAAAAGGGGAGATATAGGTATTAAACTTTAACTGATGTCTTTAGCCAAAGGATTTATCATGGACACAAGTGATGGTGGTTACCATTATCAATCAGGAAAATAAATGCTGAATTAAAACAACATATATTTCCAATTAATTTGTATAAATGCTATTCAAAAATGACATATTTGATCATTGTCAAAAAAACTGACCAAAGACTGCAAAATTGGGGATGCCATAGTCATGGAAAAATCTGGACAGAACGTTAAATAGAAGATTTTCAAATCCAATCAGAAACTTAATTCAATTAGCTAAAGAAAGTAGTATATTTTATGCCATGTGAGATAAGCTAACAGGAACAACTTTAAAATAAAACAAAACACAATGACAACAATAAACAGTGCTTCAATGTCCATCTTGAGTTTTTCCCTCTTAAAGCAGCCCTCAAGTGAAATCTTCAGGAAGATATCTTTGCAAATTCTCTACAGATATTGGCACAATATATCTATTGCCTCTGATAGAAAATTAAATTTTTTGAAAAGGATGTCAGATTTAGAAAAACAATTAAACATCCAACCTGAGGAAATATGGAACATAAAAACCCATAATCTAAGTGTAAAATTAAGTTGAAAATCATTACTTTATATTTATAGAACTATGATTTTTTAATTAAATAATTTGATTACTTTTTATACATTATGCATCTTATTATCTTATGTGAGAAATCTTATGTGTCTATATCTATATATAACACATTAACACATAAAAACATAAAATATATATTAAAAAAACATAATGTTGAGAGGTCTTCCTCAAATTGAATTTGTAGTCTTTCAGAGATAATTTCATAACACTGCAATGCCCAAATAAATTATCAAAGCTATCCAAAGTGAGTGTTAAAATAAAACTTGACACACAAGATGTGAGGAAAGATACAGTCACTCATAGTAAATCACACCTTGTATTCCTTTTTCTTTGTCCCAGGATCCCCAGTGCACATCTCCTTAGGATTCATATCTACTAATTCAGTTTGCTCAAAGATTCAAGCTTCCTCTCAGTGAGGCATTAAGGAAGTGCCCTTACCTGGAAAGTCACCCTCCTTGTCCTGACTGCTGCAGATGTGGCGGTCCTCCTGGAACTCCATCTCATGAACACATTAGATCTGGTGTCCCATAACCAGTGGCCAGCAGGTGTCCCTTCCTTATAACTGGCTTTCCTGCTTGAACCTTGTCTCCATGGCTCTGGATTACCCAGGAAGTCCTCGAGGATCTGGTCCTCTTGAGCCACAGAGACAGAGACAAGCAGGTTAGAGGGATTGCACTCAAGCCAAGAAAGACTTTCTACTAGCTGGGTGGTCTGGCACAAGAGATCTAATTGTTCACAAGAGCATGTAGAATGAAGGCCCCAGCATCACCAGCAGACAGGTATGTTAGCAGTCATACCTGTGATTCCAATGGCTTTCTTACCTTCCAATCAATTGCTATTATCAGTTCACAAGAAAATCTTTATATAGTTACAGTTACTCTGAGTTCATTCTTTCCCAGTAGTCCAGGATCTCTGACTTTAAGTGCACTGTGATCGTTTTCATGTCCAACTCATGGTTAGTGTCCTCCAAAGACCTCTGTTACTAGCTATGTATTACTTGTAAGAAGGGTCATTTAGCACCTGTAGACATTCAACTACATGAATCTTAAATTTCTAATGTTAGTGCCTCCTTTAGAAAATCGTAGCATCTATGTTCAATGAACAGAGAAATTTATTAGTTAAACTTTCTTGAGATATATAGATATTCCTTTACAGAATAAGAGATGCAGACTAAACATACTTCAATGACAGGAAAGGAAAAGCATGGCAGCGTCACACACCGAGAGGGACAGGAAATATAATGTCATGTTAATGATACAGGCTGAGAATAGAGGGTCACAAAGGTGGATGACTAAAAGAAAATTTAAATAAGTAAAATAATGTCAGGCACAGAGTAAGGAGAAATCAAAGACAAACCACTACCTTTTTTCTTTAGTCTGGAGAGGTCTGAACACAAAGGTTAATCACTTCCACTAAACAATGTGACAATTACCTAGTCCACGGGGGAAAAAAAAATCTGCATAATTCACTATCACAACAAATCTTTTTCACTAGAACTTAGCTATATATTTTAAAATTCATACCTAAATTTTCCAATAAAGGCACTGAATGATTGCAGTGCCTTACTCACAGTGTAACAATTTGCAAAATGTGCTTTCCCATTAAGATGAGAAAAATCGTCTAACTCCTGCTGAGTCTGAGGATATTCAAAAAGGGCATTATCTTAGTTCCTACCATGCGACATTCTAAAGAATCAACACAGACCATAATTCAAATAAAGATAAGAGTCTGAACTGAATTAGTTTTGAAGGAAAGCTCTATTCATAATCTGGATTTGCTTAACTTTTGCTGAATCACAATTTTTTAAATGTGGGGTATAGAGGAAGCAGTTAGGAAAGAAATTCTGTTTTTCTTTAGTCAATCTTATTAATTTAATTGCCTTTTAAAAGCATGTACATTTATTAAAATGTATTTACTCTTTGGCTAAAGCATAAATACTAGTTGAAGGAAAGCTTTACTGAAAGATGAGAAGAGCTAGGACCTTGCCTTTTTAATTTTTAAAGATTTATTTATTTTTTTTGCATAGAACTAGGGCATAGACCAGAGGTGTGGGGGTGTGTGTGAGAGGATTCACCAGGGACAGAGTGTAGAACAGAGCAGCGATTTACTGAAATACACTGCTGAGGGACACAGTGTGCGAAACAGGAAAGGTCTGCTACACCACATGTGAGTCAGCTCCCTGGCCAGGGATCATACCCAGTCCACTGTGGCTAAGTCCATTATGGTGGGCCTCTCAGAATAGTGCTGAGACTTGACTCTTAGACCATCATGGAAGCTTGGGGCCATTTACTCTTCTACTTTAAACATGAATTATTATGGGTACATACATACATATAAACACAAACCAACTAACTAACCAATCAAATAAACAGTGGACAAACTGAAATGTATGTCCAAATTCAAAACAGATTCAGAGAATACAGTTTATAAGTAGGCTTAAGTCTTAAGAGGAAATCTTTCTCTCTCTATATATGTATGTACATATATATATGTTATTAATCTTTCTCCCTACAAGGTATACACACATATATATTATATATATATATATATTCAATTATTGTTGGTTGCCATGGTGATGCATTGGAAGAATAGGTTGAATATAAAATTTATGCATAGTAAAAAAAAAATGGCTAGAAAAGGATAAAGGTTTATAATTACCCTGACTAACTTAAATGGTTCACTTATTAACTATCACTTCACAGATCATGTGAACATGAAAATGTAGTATATGTTTAGATAACAACCCAAAACAAATAAACATCTAAGTTATTACAATGTAATTAATTATTTGGATATTCTCTTGATAATTTAAGTAGTATGGCATGTTAAACGTTGTTTTTCTATGTAGACAACATGAACTCCAGAAACAAGAAAAAAATATTTGATGGACATAATTGGGCATGGAGAAGGTATGTCCGCATTAAATTATTTACATTATGTTTATGCTTACACATTAGAAAATAAAAATGATTTGGCATTGCTTAGAATTACTGGGAATGCAACACTAATAAATATAGGAATATTGCTACTAGTGCTGTTAACGAGATTATTTATATATTTACAAAAATGACATTTTAAAAAAATCAAAAAGAATCTGAGTTACATTTGAAAAACTTTAAGGATAATAGGATAAAAAAAAATTAGGAAGATGCTTGAAGAAAAGTAAGTTATAACAGAAATCAGGTGTTACCATGGGTAAACCCAAGGGCCAAAATATACTAATGCAATCAGTTTAAGACATCACCAGTCATGGGAATTTTATGGGGACTACACCTGAGAGGAGAAACCAAATATTGTAGAAAAACAATTATGTAAAATATAAATAAACAGATAGATAAAATACCATCAATCATGAGTCGTGTGAGTCACATGAAAAAGTTTCCAGTGGAAACACAATTACTATGTAGGTAAATCATAGATGTATATGTGTGTATTTGTAGAGACAGATACTGAAATACATACTCTCATGCATACATAAGCACACACATGGAGACAGAACTACACACAGAGACAAAAGAGTATTGATGTGGCTTCAGATAAATCATATATTAGGGACATCACCAGCACATTCATAAAGAACACTAATAAAAATTTCTCATTGGAAATGTTACTCTTATTTCTGTTGAATGTTTTTCATTTACTAGATCCAAAGTCTGAGTCAGCCCTTACAATGTCCTGCAGCTGGACTTAAGGATTTGTGATATGGTCTTGCCATCAGGTCTCTGAAGAAACTCAAAGCTCAAAAGAAGCAAGAGTAAAGAGACTTTATTCCCAGAAAGCACTTCCTGATAGGATATGGTTTGGCAAAGACTGATTTACTCCATCTGTCCTACTTGTCCATTCTGCTCTTCAGTTCCAGTCCTCGTTAGACTTCCTGAATGAGCCTGTTCTTGCTTCTCCAGATCTGTAGCAAAATCGACTCTCTGCTGTTACAATCTACATTGCTTCCCCATCCCTTCTAAGCTTTCCTGTAATCCTGTAATTTTTTTTTTTAAGATTTATTTGTGCATACAGAACTGGGGTACAGGCCAGAGGCTCAGGGGTGGCAAGAGGCTTCACCAGAGACAAAGTGGTGAGCAGAACAGGCAGATCGACGAAGTAAGCTTTTACGGGGAGCAGTGGGCGGGTCAGGAGAGGTCTGCCTCACCATGTGGTCATCTCCAGGGCAGGCGGGAATCAAACTCATGCGGAAGTGGCTTTAGCTTCTTAGTGCAGTGCTTTAACCCACTGCACCACCAGGGAGAGCCTAATCCTGTAAATTTTTAATAGCCCCTTATGTAATTATATGTCAATTACCAATGAGTATGTCATCTGTTTAATTTTCAGCATCTTGACCTACACTATAAAAAATGATGTACTCTTTTAGATCTTAAGCTTTTATTTTATTTTATTTTATGATAGTTTTCTTGAAAATTTTTAGATGGCCAAAGTACTAAGTATTAAATATTGATATTAGTGATATTGACAATCCTAAAACAAAGAAAAGAAGAGCTAATTTCTAACTTATGTGTACCTTTATGAACATAGTTTTCCTTGGTTCACATGGTTGGACATGTGATAGGGAAAGGGCAAGAATTCTACTGCAAAACTTAAAGTAGTATATACACATATTGACATTTAATGTTGTACACTGAAATAATATGTGGTATAATGCAATGACATTTCAATCAAATAGTAAAAATATGGATTTGTAATTAAAAAAAAAGTATCCTATACTATAGTACATTTCACATAGGATCATGAGGCAGAAGAAAAATCATGTACATTGAGTAGATAAGGTACTACATGGTTTTTCCCAAATTGTAAACCAAGTGTGTTTCTAAACTAACACAACTGGTTTATATTTAATGTTATTTTCTTCACAGGATTCTTCCTTACTCTTTACGGTATCTGCATATTATTCTAAGTACTGGACTTCCCCCATGTAGAGATAGGTGATATCTTTGTGTAATGTATGATTAACTCAGTTTGTAATTAAAATCAGAAATTCTTTGGTAACAATATCAACTATCTCATAGATAGTTGAATTACTATCTCATAGTAGAAAGGAAGTAGAAATTAGAAAATTGACCTACCATTCAAAGATCTTTTAAAAACAATAAAAATTAGAAACTGGTTTAAAATTAGGGTGTCACTGCCCACAGACTAGATTACACAGTAAATAGTGGTAGATCTATGACTCAAGAATTCATTCCTACTCTAGTGCCTTTTCCTATAAATTTAGAGCCTTAAACAAGTCAGAGGAAAAATCTAAGAGCTTAAGAACCATAAGAAATAATAATGTTCATAATTGCTTCTTTTGCGACTATATTTTTCATGGTTGGTTGGCTTAGACTGAGTTCAGAAAGAGAAGTTTCTGAGACGCCAACCCTGCCGCATTATATGTCCATTCTGAGTCTTTGAAGACCTTTCATCACAACTTGGAAGAAATGCTATGTAATTTGAAAGAGGCAATACTTGTTTTCTATCTCTTCTACTAATTCTGAGATTTTAATTTTATCATTTTTCTTCTCTATGAGCGTCACATTTTCCATCAATATAAGGAATATTCACTCATATTAGGTAGTTAAAGAGGTAGCCTTCTAATGTTAGTATTCCTTAAATTGTTATTACTATTTTAAGCAGGAAAAATTCCCATACACTATAAGCCATCTAACCTGTCAAAACCCTACTAATGAAAATTTTCCAACTTTCATCATGGAACAAGTGGAGCAAATGAGATTTTTATTTGTATCATTCATACTGCATTGACTACTGATGCCATCAAAACTAGCTTTGAACATAACTCCATGTAATTAATAATAATGTAATATAGTGTATATAATGTGATATAGTGTGAAACTTTTTTTTCTAAATCAGCTATGTATGTCATCTTCATAACTCTTAATAATTTTCACACAGTAGAAAATTTGATAGAGTCACCCTGGAAGTGTGAAACCACTCTGGATTCTAAAGTCTACATGATTCTTTGCTTAGTTGATCGCCAATGGAAGTTTATTGATAATAAAATTACACCGCCACAAATTCAACTCAAACTTTTTAAATACGAAGGATTCTCATTTAGATGATTCAAAACAAATATCACTTTAACTTTTGTGCTAGGAGAAGAAAACTAAGGATTCATTGTCAAGCTATGGTAGAAAGCTAAAAAACAAACAAACAAAAAAAACAAAAACAAAAACAAAAAAAACATGCAGAGCACAGGGATATATACTCTTTTAAAAAAGATCAATTTAATAAGTGGAGTGATTTTTTTCCAGGAAGAAGACTCAATGGGAAATTATCCCTTATCCCAATCTCTCTGTAACATCTCTTACAAAACTGTCTAATTCTCAGTATCAGTATATTTAGTCATTTTGTTGTTCTGCTAATCACCTTGAAACTTTAAATGTTTCCTAAGAACAAGAGACCCAGAATGAATTCATTCTTGCACTAATGGAGGCAACCTCAGTTTTATTTTTAAGTGGATTTGTTGAGCTGATCACATCTCTTTCTAAATTGCAACAAAATGATAATTGGAGTTAGAATATCTATTTCTCAGTAAAAGTAAAATGGAAATTGCATACCTTGATTTAAAACTGTCTGGTGGCATGAGTTCCAAAGTATGAGTTGGTCCATATAGGTTTACAACATATAATTTGATTGTTGGGTTCACCTGACCTGCCTTTGAGAAAATGAAAGTTGTTATGCCAAATACATTAAGCATTAGGCTATATTGAGAACAAAAGAAAATGCATTTCTATTCTTTCACAATTTTGTATTAGAATGGGTAAAAAAGTTTAATTTTGCTCAAGTAGAAATGATTTTATATTCAACAACTTGATTGCTTCCAATTGTTTTTGTAGATTGCTACCTCTCAAGCATTTTAGTCAGACAATTAAAGGTGATAGAAAACCATGATGACTTTATTCATTAGGCAGTGCTACTATGTTCTTTCACTAGAATGACACCAGAGGGTTGGTTGTACAAAACAGCTAGAAGATCAAGCATTATATACATTATAGAATAGGAAATGCAATGGGCAGAAAACTTGGCTAATTAAAAAGAAAAAAAATAAGAAAAAGGAAGAAGAAAGAAAATGAATACTTACTCAGTCTAGATGCCACATGCTTGAAATTCCTAACACCTAATCTATCACATGGCATTCATTTTCTAGGACAACTAGCTAGGGTATAAGTAACCACTGAGAGGTGGTTCATGGCGTTAATTGTCCTACCATGAGATGTAGACAACAATGTGAAAGATATGTAATTTGAATTTAGTAAATCAAAATTTAGGAAATGCTAACTAACCTGTAAAGTAGTATGACTGGATCTTAGTATATATTGAAGTTACTGCATATCTTGTAAAATGTTCTTACTTTAGTCCTAAGATATAATTGTAACAATTTTCCACATGAAAGTGGAGAAACGAAACAATTGTATAAACTGAAAATATTCGATAACTAGGAGCCAAGATTTAAATTCAGGATGTTCTAATTATTATTATATTGCTTCAGTTCATTCCAAGGCAAGAGCCTCTAAAATATTTTCTGAATTTACTGTTAGCTCTTTGGGGACAGACATGTGAACTTTCACCAGCATCTCTCAAACAGTTCTGAATGACTGAACACAGGCAACTTACCTGAATAAATGATCTACAGAATCAGTTTATGGCTCTTTGTGATTCTAGAGCTCATTGTGGTGTGTCTGATGTTTTAAGAGAGACCATATGAGATACATGGAGAGGACAAGGAAATTAAAAGTGAATTTAACTACAACACCTTACAAAAATGTAATAAAGAATGATAAAACTGATGATAAGGAAAAACCCAGTTGAAGGAATGCTCAATGCCAACACTAAGAAAACCAAGGCAACCATAATGATGAACTTATTCATTATATAAATAATGTGGGCTCTCAAATCCACGGCCTATATAACACCAAATGGACTGCAATGTAAGCTATGAATTCTGGATAATGATGACTTGTCATCACAGCAACCTCAAAGCTTGTGCCAAAGGCAGGACTCTGGTGGGAATGTTGATAATGGGGGAGGCTGTACATGTGTGAGCACAGGGAATAGGTGGCAAACCTCTGTATCTTTTGCTCAGTATTGCTGTAACTTGTACTGTGTAGCATCACTGATATCTCTATGAGCTTTATGTGGAAACTAAAGGTTGTTTACATACGTGGAGATGATGCACAATGGGTAAACATCTCCCTGGAAGCAGGGTATGTTGGAAATTTAGCTGTCCAGCATTTTGTAATCTTAATTAGATCTGCATCTTTTTAGGGGTTTTTAAATTAAGAGCACACTGCAAGTTCATTTGTACCTTTTAATATTCAAATGGTTCAATAGTATGTAAAATTGCTTTTCATAGTCACATTTGCCACACGGACTACAAATCCACAGAATCCTTCCTCTATGATTCTGAAACACAAGCCTCAATAATAATTAACCTTATTTTACTGGCAACTAAATTGTTATTAAGCGAGATAATGTTTTAATTAAGAAGATTAACCTGAGGTTACTAAGATAGAACTGTGTATCTCTTTTTTGCTGAATTGCTAATGATAGGGTATTTTATGAGTACTGAATCATGCTGAATTAAGTAAAATACAAATATATTTGTTTAATGTAAGTATTTCATTAGTAAATCTGACCACATTAGATATTTGCCGTACTCATTTTAATTTGAAGCACAATTTAATATGAACCCTGTGCTTTTCTTCAAAGTCGAAAGTGCCACTTTTGAAAGTTTCTGGTATAAGTAAAAACAAATGAAAATAAAACTAGTTACTCTTCCAGTTGTTGTTGGAAGAGATAACAAACTTTTATTTTAAAAAATCAGAGTAACATAATAGAGATTTTAAAAATAAAGTAATTTACCTAATGGGACACTTATATTTACTTTGAGAAAATAGAGTAAAATCAGACGTAGTTTGTTTGAATATCTGGCAGATAATGCCATGCTCTGAGAACCTGGGAGCTTTTTCTTTTAGCTTTGACATTAGGATATTTGTTTTATCTTTATTTTCAATATCCCTCAGTGGTGGTAACTGATGCACATATGGGGCCCCCCATTATTCATTTCATATTTATGCTAACAGGTGTGAGATGTCTAACAAAGCTACCCATGTAGACTAAGTCATTAGCAGCAAATGGAGCAAACAGAGCTCACATATTGCTAAACGTAAAAAGATATTTTCATGTAAGACACATCTTCTGAGATACAAGTTAACCTCTGGCAGTGTCACAGAAAGGGACAAAATCAATAAATTTGAGTTATTTCCCTGTCCTTAAAATAACTGTGACTTTTATAAAAGCACTTAACCTTTTAGAAATTCAATTTGTCCATTTGTGAAATAGAAGCAATTGTGAAAAAGACCGGGTGAGAAAAAAATAGGGAGAAGTCTCTCAGAAAATACAAAGCATGCTATTAGACACTCACATGATTCATACAGTTGAGAAACAAACATGATCATTACTTTGTACCTATCACTTCTATGAGAAAATGTTAAAAATAATTATTAAATTTAACAACATGTCTAGGTATATCAACCTAGTATCTTCTGAATGACTGCTGACATACTTCAATTTCCTTAGACATTTTTATTTTGGCTAAGTGTTGCCTACAGCTTGTTAAAATAATAGCCAGCGAACACCCAAGTAGCAGAAGATCCTGTCCATCACTGAGAAGGGAACTTGCAGATGCAGCCATTAGGTATGGGTCTTATGTGTGAGCCATTATGTCCCCAGTTCTCTTGGGAAAAGAATTATAAACAGTTCTGCTTTCCCTGGGGCTGACTTCATTTCCTTTGTGCAGAGCACAAAATGACTAGTGTGTGTGTGGAATGGCGCTTTCCTGTTCACATTTGTTTTTCACATTATGGTACTACTTCATTTTGTACTTAAATTGTCAGGTGACCTTTCATTATTGTAAGTCATCAAATGGTGTGATTAATATATTTGAGAAGTCTTTTCAGTCTGTTTCTGTAAAAATGATAGTGTTTTTCTCAGAGTATAATGAAATTCTCTTGGTGAATATGATTATTTTGTTGTTAGGCCAAATTACCATTTTTGCAAAAAAACATTGACTACATAAGTGCCTTCTAACCTATGTCAGGAAATCTCCTAAAAATACTATTTCAAAATCTTGCAATCAGATTCCTCTCAATACAGCTGTCCTGAACTATCATTCAGTTGCTTCACAGTGCGACCTGAGGAGGAAGACAAGATGGGGAAGGAAGGCAGCACAGGTCTCACTGAGGAGACACTCATTCCAGCCTCCACATTCAAGCTCTTCTTTTTTCCCCTCTCTGGATAATGTGAGTTTAGTCAATGATAGGTAAATATGGAAGGTAGGAACAGCTTCATCTTTTCCCTGACATGCCTTCCTTGCAGGTATAGAATATATATGATGAGCAATTTGTTCAGTAGTTTGACCCATTTATGGAATACACACTTTGAAAAATAACTAACAAATTTTGTTTGGAATCATAAAGTAAAACTCATTAAATGAATGGCTTAAAACAGTTTCTAAATGAAATATGCAGCCATCTCTAATTTAACAAAGACCTAAAGTGGCACTTTAAAAGTCTGTAGGACATCTTGACATGATTAATGTACAGGGTCTTCAGACATGAGCTTTTCTTTACTTTTTTTTTTTTTTTGTAATATCAAAATGGAGAAGCTAATATTTAAAAAGAGAAGTTATAGTTAAAACTGGCATGCAATGGAAAAAATGAGTGCAACCTGCTCCCAGGAGCCTCTCTGAACACTTGAAAACAGTTTTGCTCTCTGAGTAGATTTTCATATTTGTCGCACTTGATGAAACAATTCCATCTCTCTTAGCTATGGCTTCCTATGGCTCTAACCAAGCATTTAAAAAAAAAAATATGTTCCAGAGTGTGCTCTGCCATAATAATACTGATGTTAATACTAATACTAGTAAATTTTTTATGCTTAGTCTACTCTCTGTTGGTGATTCTTCATGCTTAGTTAATGTTTTATAAGAGATTTATAATACATATTAACATAGTGTAAGTGTTGTAAGAAATCATTTGAAAGAAACTAGATTTATATTTTTTATTTTTTAAACTCAAAAGCTAGATTTTCTAAAATGAACTTCTAATTCATTTAATGATGAGATGTTTTCATTCCTCAAATCAGACCAGAGTACAAAAAATAGAAGCAAATTGAATACACATTGGAGAAAATTTTGTTAAGGTATCAATTCTGCCCTTTTTAGCTCTTCTCATCCTCTTTTCAACTGGCAAGGTAAGAGGAAACACGAATGAGAGCATTAAGAGGAAAGAAATGCAGCTAGAGCGCAAGTTCTCAGAACCAGCCGTAACTCTTACTCCCCCAGCAGTGTGTAGAAAACAGTAAACTCTAAATGATGAGTCTCTTGAAAAGTAAGGAAACCTTTTTTTCTCCAAACACAACAAACACCATCAATCAAGTCACTGGTGCAGAGAGCGACAAACCAAACAGTACTTCCACATTGCTTACCTTGGGGTATGGATACTGCTTTCCCCTAGGATACAACGCTCCAGTAAACCGAGGGACAACCATGTTAGGCACCAAGGAATCATTTATCATCAAGAAGGCAAGTCTTTCTCCATCTGGTGACCACCAGTGGGCGATGTGAGAATGTAGAAGTTCCTCTAGAACAAATAAGTGTTATTTGAAACCAACTGTAGAAATGTGGGCTCAGTGACCCACAAACATCTGTCCTTGAAATCTCCATTGTGTATTTCTTTTTTCTACCTAAGTGGTGGATTTTATGAGCTTGACTGATAATTCTGTACTATTCATTACCCTTTTAATCTCAAGAAAAGCAGAGGAAAAGGAAGGAAGAAATGAACATCAATTTAAGAATGAAATATGGCACGAAACCACATTCATGTCATCAATCATCCATAGTTGCATTCAGTCATACATCTATCCTTTCATCATGAAAGTACTGAATGCCCACAAGACTTATTAAACTATTTTGAACTCTAAGGAAATCAATTATGAAATATACTGTATAAAATTATAAGATGTACTTTTATGTGACCCAAGTTCCACTATCCATTCTTCTATGCTTTCTTTTTAGCCCATGGGAGTAACCAGTGTGAATTTCATCCAAAGGGATCCTTATACCCTCTTGAGCATTGCATTATGGTATTTTGGCAAGAGATGAGAAGGAGAAAGTAAATCAGGGTATTATTTTTTTTTTTTTCATTTGACTCGATCCTAAAATGTGATCTGAGGTCTGCTGTGTGTTTTAAGTGTTGTCACTGACTCTCCTTCCTCTATGCAATTCTTTTCTTTTGTGCCTGGTAATGGCTCAACTCTCTGGTCATGGAGATGATAATAACTTGGCTGCTACTGATCTAAATTATAGCTCTGTCCTTTAAATTTCCCCCACACCTTCACCTTTACAAATGGTTTCTTTGTAAATAAATCATGTTCAAAGCTTTGAAAGTGCCAAGTCTTTCCTTTGGGGATGCTGACTGACACAATGATGAACATCAGCAGTATACTCAGAAAACAGATCTTCAAAATTAGATTGAGGTTTAGGTTGGAGATTATCTATACCTATATACATATGTATATATACACACATACACATGTGTATACCTAGATGTATCTATCTATATAATATTATCCTATATCTATGATATAATAATTATATTTCTAGGAGGGGTTTGAGCACAGATAATTAATAACAAGGCAGACAGTCATGAGTAATCAGTTGGTACTAGTGGTAACACACCATAAAATTCATATGAAACAAAAGTATTAGGAAGACAAGTACTTATAACATTTAGAGGCTAAAACAATGGCAACTATGGAGATTACATAGTGAAGTTCACTTGGTTCTTCTGACATGCTAGAAACATTATATAGAGAGAAATACATATTAAAATCATGACCATCTCTTGTTTTTTTAAGACAGAAATATTGGTGAAGAATGACTGGAACTTTCACAGACACAATAAGAATGTTTGGATAAGTTTGTGCAGTATTATTTTGCTTTCTGGAAGAGGCTCATCAATAGCACAATTCATTATGGAATGCTATTGAATGCAATTTTTTTTTTTTTATGGTTGGAGATGTTGAACCTCAAAATTCCCACAAGTCTTCTTACAGACAGAGGTAGCACGTACCCTTTGCATAAAGGTAGAGTGGAAAATGAATTTCTATAGTTTAAGAGTTTGCAGCCCTAGCAAAGAACTTAGAGACCCAGTGGTCTGGGATACCTTGGTGTATCTTTTAAAGTGAGAGAACACTTGTTGAGACTGCACTTGTGCAGAAAAGAGGAACAGATCTCTGAATTTTAAGGAATAACATAAACTTTACATGTGCTGTCTTTCCATTCAGTGCCCTGTTTGTATGGACAACTACCTTCTACAGCTACCAGTTCTGAGTAGAAGGTGAGCAAGAGAGAGTGAAGCATCACATGAAGGCCACAGTGCCACTTGCCTATCATCTTTGACTTGTCCAGCAGATCCAGTTTTCCTGTACGTACGTGTCCATGCAAATATAGATGCACTCACAAGACATTAGAAATTTTAGAGGAAGGTCATTTCCTCCAGTATTAATAGTCTTTACTTCTAAAACAACTCTCTAAAACAACTCTCTACCTGGCTACAAGAGACTCTTACAACCCATGTTTTTCATCATGAAGTGACTGTGATCATATTGTAGAATGAAACATAAATAGCAACCATCCAGGGTAGAGTAAAAGTGATTATCTGGGACAAGTCCAGAAAGCACGAGTGAATGACCACAGTATTACATCCTCTGCTTTATCCCTCTTGCTTCCCCTTCAATCGACACCTCAAAATGTGTTATCTAACTTGAGTTAGTGGAGGTTGAAGAAATCCAGGCCCGGTTTCTATGATGTATTTGAACAGGCCCTGTACTATGACCTGACTTGGGAGTGGCATTGAGGGACTAATAAATAAAACCTCGACCAACATAATTTATTCTCTATTCCTTGTGGAAGGACATTTGGCTTTCAGCGTGGCTATGTCTTCAACCAATCACAGGGAATCAAATACTGGCTAACTGCTCAGGGAAACTGGAAGAGTAAAATTAGAAAATCAGTGACAAAGTTTAGGACAGGATAAACTTATATCAGAAGATATAAACATGTGGAAATGTGGAGGTAATCATGTCCTGTGTAATGTCCACCAGAGCACACCCATAGCAGAGGAGGCTTTCAATAACCAGATGAACAAGGTGACTCTTGAGTACATATCAGCTTCTTTTTGGCACTTCTATTATCCACTTACTATTACCCACAATGTGGGCATTGCAAAACCCTTGATTTGATATTGTCCTTTCCCAGGAGGACCAACTGACTACCTGGTATCAGGTAGGTTACATTAAAAACCTTCCATCAAGAAGGCGTAGCCTTTTATCATTAAAGAGATAGACATATAATCTAGGTCTGGATATGCCTTTACTGCCTGCATTCATATCAGTGCTGCTATTCATGGACTTTTATAATAACTTAACCATGACCATAATAATCCACATTAAGTCGCCACCAAACAGTAAATATTTTACAGCAAAAAAGACAATGGATTCAGCCACACAGAATGAACTTGTTTCATTAAGACCCCTTAGTTATCTATATCTGGCTTGTTAGACAAGTGAAACAACCTTCTCTATCATAGTTTGGGCACTATTTCTATTTGTTAGCAATAACCTTGAAAATGGGATCCCAACCAAGAGTATGCAAGTCTCTCTTAGAAAGCTCAGTTCACACAAATGTGGAACTAAAGATATAGAAGTGTAATATTTTCTAATTATCACAATGATAACTCACTGGACATATTTTGTTTCTTAACTATGTAATGAGCTTAATGTGTTTAAAACCTGTTGAAAGGGAGGACTGACTCAAATATGAAATAATTCTGTTCGTCTGAATTGGAGACCTAAATTTGTCTTTGACCAGTCTGGGCTCATTTTGACTGGAGAGTGGGGAGGGAGCTGACAACAAATATAGTCACTGTACTGGGTCTGATGATTAATCTCATCTGCCAGGAAGGAAATGTATCTTCACTATACAAAGCTTAGGGCAAGGAGGAATATATTTGGAACTCTGCAGATTCACAAATAATCCATCTCATTTTCCAATTCTCCATTTCCACATTCTAATTTCCATTTCAATGGAAAATTGAAATTGTTGCAATCTAATTAAGAAAAAGATGCAAAGGAATAAGATTTGGCAAAAATAAACTTTTGGATGGATCCATCTAGTAAATAACCTGCCTACTGAACAAGCTGGCAGAAGGTTAAGTCAAGAAATGTGCAGTTATAGAAGAGAACTATGATTACCAATTATGGCTACATATTAAGCTTATTTGCCTCTTAATGGCGGCATTTTCTCCAAAATGTTATATTAAAAAAAAAAAAAAAAACCAGATACCAGTTTCAGTTAGGTATACAGCTGGAGTAAAATCACCCTATGATGAAACAGTGTCATATGGAACTTTCTATGACTCTTTTTCAAGGAGACAGAATTGCATTTGAATAAGAATAACACCTATTATATGTGCTTATATCTTTTTTTTTTTAATTGCGTAGGGCTAATATAAAACCAGGTGAATCAAATTAAGGGAAAATAAGCTTGGTATATGTTATTTACCATGGCTCCCACTTTTGAAATCATGGTTTTCAACCAAATTTCTCTGTTTTTTTTTTTAACTGTAAAAAAAAGTAAGGAATTTCCTTTGTGTGGGTTCTAGTAACAGTGACTTTTCTTCCCCAAGTACGTATTGGTGGCTATAACACACTAGCAATAAGGTGTTGCATATTCCTTTTGGTAAGTAAAACTTTCAATACAATTTTAGATGTGTCATGTTGGATAGTTGTAACCCGAACCCTGATTTACACAAATAACTTCTAATTCAGTTGAAGAGATATGAGTTGTCCATATGACACATTGAAGGGAAAAGAAGCTAAATGTCAATTAAGTGTAAACTCCAAATTCTATGTCATGTGAAATTACTGATCAGTTGTGTTGGCCAAAGACAATGCTCAGGATTTCTAAGAAGTAGACTCAATCCCAGATACTGAAGCATATGTGAACAGCATTTGAAAAGAATAAGAATGGCCCAACTTTGAGGTTATCATTCAATAGAGATTAGATGTCACTTATTCTCATTTACTGTAGAATTATCTATACCTAAAGATTTCCCTATAAAAAAACTAAACTAGGAAAATATGTGGCACATATTAAGAGTTATGACTTCCTTGTTTTCTGGGGTAGGTTGCTTTAACAGGGTGTTTTACTCATGGATTGAAACTTTCTATGTTCATCATATTACCTTATTAAAAAAAAAAAATCATAGGCCCTCCCTGGTGGCGCAGCGGGTTTAAGCACAGCACTAAGAATCGAAAGCCACTTCCGCATGAGTTCGATCCCCGCCTGCCCCGGAGGTGACCACATGGCGAGGCAGACCTCTCCTGACCCACCCGCTGCTCCCCTCAGCAGTGTACTTCGTCTATCTGCCTGTTCTGCTCCCCACTCTGGCGCTGGTGAATCCTCTCACTGCCCCTGCAACTCTGGCCTGTACCCCT